GGGCCTCTGCTGAAGCCATTCCCAGGGAGTCAGGGACTCCACCCCTGGCTTTGCCTGCAGTGGTGCCTGTGGAAAGTCTGAGCTCATGTATCCTGTGCTAGTCAGCTACTCAGCCAGCCTGGTCCCTACAATACATCGTTATCTAGCGTCCCTCTTACTCCCTGCTGTGTAGGGCTGCTGCACAGAGAGAAAGAGGCTTTTACAGGCAGACGAAATAGTCCTTTGCCCTTCCTGGCGCCGTCCATTGAGGATTTCGATGCACTTTGCAGGCTCTCATGAATTAAGGCTCACAGCCCCATCCCTGGGAAACATCCATCCCCATTTTATAGACGGGAATCCCAGACACAGAGAGGGTCTGGGTGCAGCCCCTGGGAAGGGGAGAAGAAGTGGGGCTGGATTTCTGTGCCCACCTGGAATGGGCTCTGGGTGTGGCTGCCTGGCCAGAGGAGAGCCAGAGCTGCATTTCGGCCTCTGCTGGCCTGGATTCTGGCAACACAGCACCAAACCAAAGTTATTTGGAGTGCGTTTCTGGCCCAGAGGCGGAGAGATTCCCAGTGAGATTGATGAGCCCTGAGGGTGACTGTGTCTCCTGGAAGAGAGATCAGGGTGAAATATCACACTAGGTTGATTTCCTGGGACTGGAGGATGCAGCCTTTGGGGGGACCTTAGTCCCTCCCCTCTTCCATTTCTAGAGGCAATGGCTTAGTATTATAAGCCTCAGGTTTGAAACCCCAGGGCTCCTCAGAATCAAAGGCTAAAAGCCCAGCAGAGCCACTTCAGCTTTTCAGTATTCCATGGTAAAAACCCGAAGAGTTCCATGAACTTGTTGCATGTGGGCCTCTCCTGGAACAATGAGCTCCTGTGCAGGTTTTCAAGATTCTCATTATATAGGGGTATAATGCACCTTGGTCCCAGATAGCACTGCTGTGCAGTGAGCTGCATGTCACCCCTCCAGCCCACCCCACCCCACCCCAGAGGTGGCCGCGTCTCAGAGTCCCATCAGGGTGAAAGCTGCTATGGAAACACAAGAGATGGACTCAGTGCAAGACAGTGTAGACACTCCCCTTTCGGAGTATGAGGATTGTTTGCTCTCTCCCCACTCCTGCCCTAAAGGAGAATTTCAGAGAAAAGCAAGAAACCTGTAAAAAAAAGGAAAAGAGGGGAATACAATCCCTCCCCCAGCCCCACCCCGCCCCAGCCCTTTCTGTGCTGGGTTCTTTTCCTTCCCAGAACTGCGCGGCTGCTTGTTAGCGCTCCGGGGCCATACGCTAAGTGCAGCCAGACTGCTGCCCTTGCTTCCCACCGGGGCCTTCTCAACCCAGCGTGCTGGCTGGGACAAAAGGTTTAATTAACTCTGCTCTGATTGTCAGCGCCAGGTCAACAATCGCCTGCGATAACAGGCCTCGGAGCTGGGCCCCGGCACAGGACCCCCTGCCCAAGGCAGGGCGGGGGGGAGACAAACTCCTGCTGAGGAAAAGCCAGACGGAGCGGAGCCTGTTCGACTCCGCTGGGCTGAGGGAGGCCGAGGCCTCTGAACAACAAACCCATTGTCCCCCTGGCTGGAGGGCAGGACTTAGCTACAGGGCTTAGCTACAGCATCAGTGGCTGGGGATGGCAGGTGAACAGGCCTCCTGGGCGGCATGCTTCAGGTGGCATTGCTGGGGGAGTCCCGTCCAGACTGTCAGACAAACGCCAGTCCGTCCCAAGCCATGGCTGGGAGGAGGACCGGCCCCTGAGGGGTCTTGGAATGTCTTGGACTGCTCCACGCCTGTTATAAACACCCGGCGTGAGGGAAAGGCGAAGGTCCCCTGACCTGTTGTCAGGGAAACTGAGGCAAGGCCTATGCTTGTGCTGATTGGCTCAGAGCATGGAAAGCGCTTCATTCTCATGACCTCTCAGCATCGGGCCCTGCGCAATTTTGGATAATCTGGGCCCAGGTGTCCAGAGCTCCGTGTAACCAGAATGAATCCTCACAAGCCCCTGCGCTAGGTCCGTGGTATCGTGGGGAAATCGAGGCATGGAAGGAAAGAGGCCACTGATATTGGGTGCCTCAGGGTTTCACCAAACAGCTTCCGGGGCTACTGCCGAAAAGGTTGACCTGCTCCGGGTCACCCCACAAGCCTGTGTCAAAGGCCCCCGGGGGATCCTGGTCCCTTTGCTTAGGCCACAGGACTGTTTTCATGTGTCCTCTGACAGCCGTAGAATTGAGCTTGGTTTGGATGCTGGTTCCCAGAGTTTGGAGGAGGACGGTGCTGGATAAAGGCTCCTCACTTTGGTCCCTAGCAGGGCCCACTGATCCCTCCCTCCCGGAGCCTCCGCGGCTGGTGGCTGCTCTGAAGGCCAAAGCAGATGGAACCCAGGAAAGATGGAGCATATCGAGTCTCTCCCTTAGAGGTGGCACATGCCCCTTCTCCCCTGCTGTGAGCACTGACAGACTGGCAGCCTCTTGCACCCTGGGGGGCGAGGAGCGGGGGAGTTGGAGGTGTGTGTAATAACTGGGCAAATCACCCCCCGCCACAGCCTGCAACACAGAGAGACTAGAGACTGCTCCGGAGTTGGATTACTCTGTTCCCCGCTCGCCCGGCCCAGTGAGACCAGGCCGCGACTGCAAGGATGTGTTTTCCAGGCAGTGGGTTGGCGGGGGGGAGGGATATTGATCAGAGTTGTCTCCGGCTGGCAAGTGCATCTGGAGGGCGAGGCTTGGGTTTCAGCTCTCAGGACAGAGAGCAGCTCGGGGAGAGTGGGGCTGCAGAGGTCTGGTACTTGGAGATGCCACTTGCGGAGCTGATAAGGTTGTGGCTGGGAGCGGGGCTGCCACATAGCTCTGTCATGTACTGCCTCCCCGTGTGAGAGGTGCCCAAATGGTGGGGAGGGTGCACCAGCACTCAGAGATGGATCAGAGCCAGAGCTGGTAGTCTGACCCACTCCTAAACTCCACGGCTCAGGTAAAATGGGACCCACGTCAGAACTGCACCTTTGGTTGTGCAAGATCCAAACCTGATGGATGAGGCTTTGCACCCTCCTGAACAGCCCTGGTTTTGCCCATCTCTGCCTGGCTATTAACCTGGCGGTATTGAGGGGTTGGCAGTAGCCCCTGATGGGGGTGATGGTGTAAGGGGAGCAGAATCCAGAGGCTGGGGGTATCAGAGCCCCACCAAGCAGTCATGCTAGGGGGCACTACCAGAGACTGAGGACTGGAGACATCAGTAGGCACCAGGGTGGCACAGTAGAGCCTAACACCTGCCTCACCCCATCTCCCTCGCCCAGGTGCTCGGTGTGATGGGGGCTTGTCCAGAGAGAGAAGGGACTGACTCACAGAGAGCAGAGAGGATTTCCCAAAGGAGGGGCAGCAGGAAGGGACCCCCTTTTGCAGGGGTGGGGTCAGTGATCCATCCCTGCATGTACCCCCTGCAGCAGTGATTAATTTGTAATGAAAGAGGTGCCAGGGCTCAAGCAATTTTTTTACTTTCATAACTGACGTAGCAAGGCCCAGAGGTGCCAGGGCTCTGAACTGCCAAGCCCAGAGGTGCCGGGGCGATGAACTGCCAGGCCCGGAGGTGCCGGGGCAATGAACTGCTAGGCCCAGAGGTGCCGGGGCGATGAACTGCCAGGCCCGGAGGTGCCAGGGCTCTGAACTGCCAGGCCCGGAGGTGCCGGGGCGATGAACTGCCAGGCCCAGAGGTGCCGGGGCTCAGCCCTGGCAAGCTCTGGCACAAATTAAACACTGCCCCGAAGGGCTCCGCCCTCCAGAAGCGCAGGCTGCCCCACGGCTGCGGAATGGGCTGATCTGCTCCCCAGCTGTCTGTCCGCTGCCCCAGGGACTTCCTGGAAAGCCCTTGTTGACCGGACTTTATAGTCGGAGGTGGGGAGAGCTGGGCAGGGCCGGGTAGGGAGAGTGAGCATGTCTGTGTCATTGCTGAGAGCTTGGGAGGCGTCCAAATGCACTCTCTGTCACTTCCCATTGTCCCGAGAACAATGGCTCAAAACAAGTGCAATGATCCCACCGCTCAGTGCATGGAAAGACTCAGCAGTGGAGGGTCCTGCCTGGCTGGGAGCCCAACTGCTGAGATCACTGCAGGCTCACCGGCACTGCCAGGTCCTCCCTGCCCACGCCCTGAAGCGGTAGAGCCATCGCTCGGTGTCCTGGGCTCTGAGCAGGCTGCATGTGCTCCAAGCCATGCCATCTCCCCAGACCCTTGGTTCTGGGCAGGCTGCGCGTATTAGCTCAAAACTGGGGCTAACTAACAAAATGTAACTGTAAATGGGGACTCATTATTGAGCAGGTTTGTTTCCAGTGGGGTCCTGCAGGGATCGATCTGTTCTTGGCCCTACACTATTTAACATCTTTATCCATGGCCTGGAAGAAAACCTAAAATCATCCCTGTTAAAGTTTGCATATGACACAAAGATTGGGAGAGTGGTAAATAATGAAGAGGATGGGTCACTGATACGGGGCAATCTAGATCGCTTGTAAGCTGGGCGCAAGCAAACAATACGTGTTTCAAAAATGGAACTGTCTACATCTGGGAACAGTGTGCCACTCCGCCATGCCATGTGGGAGACTCGGGCGAAATTCCTGCAGGAAGGGGTTCCCACCCTGGGCCACGCAGGACGCTGGCTAGCTCCCCAGTTCAGGTCTCTTGCTCCCTGGGTGGGGAGCGCTGCACTGTGTTAGGGAAGGGGAAGCTTGTCCCTGCTTAATAGCACCTGCTCTGGCCATTTAAGAAGCTACACTAGCTCCCAAGGGAACCCCATGCAGGGAGGGTGCTGCTCAGCTGGTGGGGGAAGCAGGGGTCTGAGGGTGGCAGAGGTTTCAGTTTCCCCTCATCTGACCTGTGGTTCATGTCCATCTCCCCAGGTGTCTGCGTCCAAGCTGCCCTGGCTGCTGAGACCGGACCGTGGGAGAGGCGGTGTGTGGGTGGGTGTGAAGGGGGGATCAGCATGCCGTGTCTGGTGTGTGGAAGGATCTCACCTCTTCCCATCTCTATCCCCCATTGCAGAGGGAGCATCTGACCCACAGCCCAGCCTAGGAGCCCAAAGGGATGTGGAAACACAGAATCACTGGTACGTAAACCCCTCGTCAGCATCTCCCCGCCCGCCAGGAGAGATGGGCCAAATCCAGAGTTGTATATCCAGCTCTCCCAAGCCCTCAGGCTCAGGAGACAGTGGGGCCCAGATCAGAACCGCCCTGGTTCCGTCTCCACAAGCCTCATCCCCCCACCCCATTCCCCTTCCCAGCTTTTCCCCTCTCCACCGGGCAGCCCCCTGCTGAGCCTGCCGATGAATATTTCAGAGCCCTGCCGTGTGCACCTCACTTTGCATTAGCATCAGACGCCTGAAGGCGGCCAGCTCGGCCCAGTAATGGGGCGAGACGAGAAGCCCAGGGGAGCCGGGGGGGGCTGCAGATCCAAGGAGCTGAGAACCGGACATTGCTCAGTGGCTGCATACAGAGGCCCCCCTCCCCGTCCCTGATGGGTTTGATCTGAATCTCTCAGAGCCTCCGGGCTCTCCCTCCTTTATTCCTCCATCTCCGACCCACTATGGCAGTGTGCCGGATGGACCAGCCCTTGGGGATCATTGCAGACTCCTGTCCCGACTTGAGACGGGAGCAAAGGTCTAAGCGGCAGCTTCACTCAAACAGATCTGCTAGGCCAAGCCCTGGCATCAGCTTTGTGCCACAACTAGGCAGAGGGGCGTCAGGCTGGGCGGCCCCCCCGAGCTGTTGCCAGGACCCGGGGGGGGGGGCAGGCAGCTCGTCCTTTGGGACCCTAGCAGCAGGATGCCTTTGCCCAGGCTGATTGCTGCTAACGAACCTTCCTCCTTCACCCCCCTGCAGGACTCTGTGCATGACCCAGCCCTTCCCGCAGGTGACGGAATGGAAAGGTTACAGAAGGTAAATGAGCTGGGTTAGACTCTTCAGGCCCCCGCTTTGCAACCACCCCGGACACCCTGGTCAAGGCGTGGGGAGGTCGGTGTGCTGGATGGCCCTGTATTGGAATGCAGGAGGCTTTCGCCTCCAGGGGGCCCATCTCTGTTTGGGGGCCTCGTGCCACTAACTGGTGGGTCTCAGTTTGCTCACTAGCAGACAGGTGTCCACAGCACAGAGCCGCTGGCACCAGCAGGCCCCATAGTTGGCAATCTCTGCAGAGAGATTAAGGGCCCCTCCTGCTGCTGCAGGGAATGCCCAGATGCACTGGCAGAGGGCAAGGGAGCCAGCACTATACCTGCTCTGAGGGGGTGCAGTGGCAGGAGAGAACCTGGGAGCATCCCCTGCCGAGTAAGGGGCAGGTGTCAGTTTCTGAGCAGAACAAGGGGTGAGCTGGCAAAGGCCGTGCTGGGCCCTTCTGCACTCAGCACTGCAAGGGCCACACAATTGCATGCTGTTAATTGCAATCACTGGATGCTTCTGAGGAGCTGGGGCATGCAGTTGATGTTACCGGAGAGCAAAGGAGCAGGGTCTATTCTTCACCCATCTCCGTGCTCTGTCCTAGGGGCTCCGCCCCTTGCTAACTGGAGTTTGGGCAGACAGCACCACCTAGTGCTTACTGCAGCTCTCATGGACACATCTGCTGAAGCTGCTGGCAGTGCCCACTTGGGCACAGCACTGCCCCCTGCCCCAACAACATGACCCCCATTTGGGCTGCGGGAGTTGGAGACTTAGCTGTGCTGTATGGGGCAGGAGCTGCAGATTTCCCTCAACTTGCGCGGCAGCTCCTGACCTGGACCAGCTGAGTTTTAATTTCTAGTTGACCGTGATTTGTGTTTTCGGAGGAGCTGCAGTTCGTAGCCATTCTCCACATTAAAGATGAATTGTTCCCTGAATCCCAACCTTCCCCACACACCCCATGAGTCTTAGGAACACAGGGACTGCCAGATTGGATCCAAACCTGTGCTCCATTTAGCGCAGTATCTGCCTCTGACAGTGGCCAGCACCAGCTGCTTCAGAGGAAGGGGAAAGACACCCCAGGGGGCAATTATGGAATAACCTCCCTACAAGGGAAGATTCCCCCTGACTCTCAACAATTAGAGGTTGGTTTGTGCCCTGAAGCAGGAGGGTGTTTGTATCCCCCCTATTTTCTCCTGTCTAATGTAGCCGTGGGTGTTCTTGTGACTCATATACAGCTCCAAGCCTTTTTGAATGCTGTTGTGCTCTTGGCCTTGACAGTATCTGGTGGCAGTGAGTTCCAGAGGTTAACAGCCCCCCCCATATCCTCAGTCAAATCTGAGAGCATGTGTAGGCAAGAGAATGCCAAGGAATGGGGATATCAGAGGGCTGATGTCCTTCTGGATTTCCTAGGTCTTGCTCTGAGGATCAAGGCCCTCCTCTCTGGGAGTCAGTTCCACTGATCTCCAGCCCTTCATACAGGTGCAGCGGTGGGAACACACACACACACACAGGTACACAAGCACACTTGCACATGCACACACACACACATACACACAAAATCCGGGTGCAGGTGCGCCCGCACAGACACTATTCTCAGCATCATGGTCTTCCCCCTCCAAAGCCATATCTAGCCAAATGGTGCTAAACTGACATATCCAAACGGCACACCCATATAATATCCAGCTAGGCAGGGAGGGGCTGTTGGGTTTGGTACTGTAATTCCCACCTGCAAGGGAGTGAGGCTCATCAGATGACTGCTTCCCTTGGCATTGCTGCCTCTCTGTGTGCCTCTCAGGGGGAGCTTAGCTGGGTTTTCTCGTGCCTTGCCCTGTCGGCTGCATTGACGAAGCCAGCAGCGGAGAAAGAAACTCACAGAGGTCTCTCCCTCCTTTCCAGCAATCTTTGACCTCCCCTGGGAGCGTCTGTTCCTCCCGCGGGTCCAGCGTCCCAGGATCACCCTCCAGTATTGTGGTGAGTGCTGTTCATGTCACATCTCCCTTTTGGAGGGTCTCTAAAGCACCCAAGCTCTGTGTGGGCAGCAATCAGAGCAAGGTAATGGGAGTCAGGACTCCTGGGTCCTGTTCCTGGCTCTGGGAGAGGTGTACGGTTTAGTGTTTAGAGCAAGAGAACTCAGGACTTCTGGGTTCTCTTCCTCACTCTGGGGAGGTGTCTGGGCTAGTGCTTAAAGTAAGAGAATGGGAGTCAGGTGTCCTGGATTCTAATCCAGGCTCTGACCTGCTGTGTGACCTTGGGCAAGTCCCTTCCCCTTTTCTGGGCCTGTGTTTCTCCCTCTCTAAAATGAGAATAATCCCTTCCAAATTCCCAGATGGGCTGGGAGGCCTCAGCTCCATGCGGGAAAGAGTCGTGGGCTCTGCCCTGCACTGGGAGAAGCTCAGACACCTGCTTGAGGCTTTTCTGGTTGAGAAGGAGCTTTTCCTCCTTCACAGGCCAGAATGGACAATGAGGTTCTGGGCTACAAGGACCTGGCGGCCATTCCCAAGGACAAGGCGATCCTGGACATCGAGCGCCCTGACTTAATGATCTATGAGCCCCATTTCACCTACTCCCTCATGGAGCACGTGGAATTGCCGAGGAGCCGAGAGGTGAGGGTGTCTTGGGTGGGGCATGGTCCTCTGTGTTCGTTCCCTCTCTGCCAAAACCCCATCAATGGCTGAGCCAATGTAAGCTCTGCGGGCAGCTCCCATCCGGCTAAGGGGAGATGCTTGCACCTCGCTGGACTGCAGGACAGGGATGTACCAGAAATCTTTACTGCGTATCCCAGTCATTGCAGGATGGGTCAAGTAAATGGCATCTGTCTCTCTCTGCTTCCTCCCACAGCGGTCCCTGTCCCCCAAATCCATCTCTCCTCCTCCTTCTCCAGAAGTGAGTACTGCCACACCTTGCCTCCTGCTTAGTTCTCCACAGGCGTCTCTTGCTCACAGGCAACAGAAACCCACAGAGCTTGAGGTCCAACCAGCCTCCACCACAATGTACCCTGTATTTTAACCATTGTGCTCTCGCTCCTATCACGAGCACTAGGAAGACTGAGGGTGGGGGGCGGACTCTGGGGGGTCTACACTGCATTGAAACCTGAGGCTATGTGACCAACCCCAGCCATGCTAACACGTCCATACTGCACTGTGCAGACCTTCTGACTTGGGTCTGCTGCTTGAGCTGCGTCCACACTGCTCAATGACAGGGCTTGGACTGGACTCGGGCTGGGATCCACCCCCCTAGTAGGGTCTTAGGAGTGCAGACAGATTTGTGTGCGGACGGAAGGGGGCTTGGGCTCAAACCTGGGCTTAGTGGCTGGTGTAGACATACCCTGGGAGAGCCTCTGCAGGGGGAAGGCATTACTGGGACAGGTGTCAGGATTGGTGCCTGATGCTGCCTGGCTGGCAGATCAATGGATGAGTGGATCCATCTTTTCCAAAGGCTACTTCCCCACTGGCTCATCAAATGGCTCCTCCACTGTCCACACGCCGTGGCTGTGTCTTGAGCATCCACACTACTGGCTGAGGTGAGATCAGCTAGCCCAGGAGCTCAGCGGAGTCAGAATCCAGGGGCTTAGGTTGCACTTGGACCCTGATTGAACAAGAGAGTTTTAGAGGCTGGATTAAACTAACGAGCCCTGTGAAAGATGAGGGAGATGGACAGCTGGACTTCCAGTATGCCTTGGGGCCAGCTTCGCCATGTCTCACCATTCCAAGCACTGTCAGCCTTTCCTGAGAGATCTGGGAGAGTTTTCCCTCCCAAGGGGTGGGACTGAACTTTTAGATGCAGTCTGGGCTTGGCAGTTAGGTCTCTGTCTGAGCAGGCAGCATGTGCCACTGTCAGAGACAGGCTGCATGGTGTGCTGGTCTGTCTGTCCCAGGGCAGCAGCTGCTCTGACACTGGCTCTGTTCACAGGTCATCCGGGACTGGATGGAAAACAAGTCCCTAGGAAGTGCCTCCCAGGCAGCTAGTCGCCGGACCAGCAGCACAGCCCGGAGCGGAGTGCACCACTTCCACCGACCTGGTACGGCCCACACCCTGCCTGGGGCTCTCCAGGGCTCCCCGCATGGGTGTGAGGGGAGCAGGACCCCAACTTCAGGGCCACACACCACACTGAAACCCTAACCAGAGACCCAAGACCAGACCCTGCTCCCTGCACCCCCACCCTCCCTGCTCCTACTCGGGTGCCTTCCCCCCTCCACCAGCCTGAGTCAGGTGAGCTTGGAGCCAGCACCTGAACCCAACTGTGGGAATGGGACCCACTTGTCCTTCCTCCTGGACCCCACCAGCATGGAGCAGGGTGAGCGCTGTTCCGTATACCCATAGAGCAGGGACAGCAGGAGGGCGAGCCTCCCCCACCTGTGGGTCCCCACCTCCTCTAGGAGTGAGACGGAAGCTCAGCTGTGCCAGTGGCAGTGGTGGTGGTGGCATTTCTCACCCTCCTGTTCCCGTCCCCTCCTCCAGAGACCAACACCATGGAGCCGAACATATACAAGAAGCCGCCAATCTACAAGCAGAGAGGTGAGCGCGGCTGCTTCCCCACCCCGGCCTTTGGGTGCTGGGTTGGGATATTTGGGGGAGCGGGCGCAAGGAGACGGGAAAGCCAGACCTCAATTTTCTGTCCCTCTGTCTATTACAGAGCCCTCGACGGGAGCCCCACAGAGCAAGCACATGATAGAAGACCAGATCATTGAGTGCTCCAAGTTCCCAGCAGCCCAGGCCCCGGACCCCAACCAGCCAGCCAAGATCGAGACAGATTATTGGCCCTGCCCTCCCTCCCTGGCAGTCGTAGGTAAGTGGTGGCAGAGTGTTTTACCTGCAGCTGGGCGACTCCTATCAGCCCCCCGCCAAGCTGAGCGGGGTCAGTACTGGGATGGGAAACCACCAAGGAAAGCTGAAGTGTTGCTCTGAGTCAGCATCAACACCCCATTATGGTGACTGAGGGGGCTGGGCAGATGGGACATACAGCCAGGGCCCTGACCGCTTGTGGTCATGAAAGATCCCCTGGCACGTTTTGCTAGCCCTGGTGCTGGGGTGATGCATTCTGCCTCCCTGAATTTCCCCAGCGAGGAAAGGATCCAGCCGCCCTCTATCTCTCTGCCCCCTTGATTTGGCGTCTTGCTCTTGCCCTGTACCCTGACGCCCTCTTTGGGTCCCCAGAGAAGGAGTGGAGGCAGCGGATGGCCTCCAAGAAAGGCATGGAAGAAGAAGAGGATCTCACGGAGGAAATGACTAACGTGCGTGAACGACAGAAACAGGAGCTGAGTAAGGTAGGATGACCTTGGAGGTGCGGGGGCTCCAGGAGGGCTGAGTCCTGGACCAGGCTGGGACTGGAGGGGGCTCCAGCTTGGAGGATGCTGGGATTCGATGGGGGCTGCTCCCTGGAGGATGCTGGGGCTGGAGAGGGTTCTGTGCCCTGGTGGATACTGGGGCTGGGGGACGGGGGCTGGGCTCTGGAGCATGCTGGCGCTGGAGGGGGGCTGTGTCCCAGCACTGAGTCCTACCTGACCCTGAGGGCTACTTCTCCTTAGGTCACCTCAAACCTCGGGAAGCTGATCCTGAAGGAGGAGATGGAGAAATCTCTCCCCATCCGGAGGAAAACCCGCTCGCTCCCAGACCGGACGCCCTTCCACACCTGTGCGTGGGGCCAGGCAGTGACCCAGACATGCCCTCCTCTCCTCTTCCCCCTCTCTGATGCTGAGACCCTCCCCCCAGGCCTTTCCTGGCATCCACGGGAGCAGCATCCATTTTAAGTCGATACCCTGACAAGTGACATTGTTTTGGTATCGTTCCAGGTGTTGGTTTTATTTATTGTTAGTGGCTGGGACTGGAGTAGCCCAGAACTCCCCCCAGCCAGCTCTCCTGGCCTGCTCCATGCAGCACCCCCTGCTGGGAGAGGCCGGGGCAGGAGTCACGGGGCGCTCCCCCGGACCATCCCCTGCCCTGCTTTGTACGAGGATTTCTGCAGGAACACTCAGCCCAGAGGTGACGCTGGCTCTTGCTCTTTTTCAGCTCTGCACCTGGGGAATTCCAGATCCTCCACCCTTCCTGCCTATGGGACAAGTACCCTCACCAGGGTAAGTGCAGTTCCCCACTTCACCCTGCCCTTGCCTGTTGTGTCCTTGGGAGTTTGGTGTTTTCCACATATTGTTCTTATCCGTTCAGATGGTGTTCAGGTCCAAATGGTGCCAAACTGAACCGCTCCACCTGGGCTGGGATCCAGCTGACGGTGCCCGAGCCTAGCCGTGGCTGCTGATAATGCACCGGGCTGGGCTGTGTACCCTTGGGGGTAATGTCACGGGCTGGGACAGTCAGGAAGAGGGGTTACCCAGAATTGAGAGCCAAAGCAAATCAGCCAGTGAGAGCAGCTGGCTCACAGCCCTGCTGGTGAGGGGACCCAGGGCCTTATGCCTTTGGGCCACTGATTCAAATCTGGCCCGTGTCCGCAATGTTTGAGAGTCATTACCACTTTGTGGCTGTTCGGAGTCTTGTGTGAAATGAGTTTGTTGGGTCTCAGTCCAGCCCCAGTGGGACAGATCTCCTTGGCACCAAAACCACTCAGACTCCACTCTTCTCCCTGGAGGTGTCCTCTAGGGCAAGGTGGAGGGCAGTGCAGGAAGAATCTTGCTGGGTTGCCCCCTGGGATGCAGCTGCTCTGTGGGTACAGAAGGCCCCTTGTTCTTGGGGCTGTCAGTCTGGTCCTTCTCACCAGCTTCCAGCTGCTTCTTGCATCAGGCCAGCAGGCAGTTTCTATCCAAGCTCCCTGCCCCTCTCAGAGGCATTGCTGCCCTGGTGGCTGATGCTGTCTGATTTCCTTTTGCAGCTGCAGTCAGCAGAGTTCAGCCCAGCCAGCAGCGAGAAGGGGAGCCCAGGTAAGAGGAGCACACGGCACAAGGTGCAGGGGAGATGTGTGTCTGGTCTGGTTTGAAGTATCAGGGGGTAGCCGTGTTAGTCTGTATCTACAAAAACAACAAGGAGTCTGGTGGCACCTTAAAGACTAACAGATTTATTTGGGCATAAGCTTTCGTGGGTAAAAACCTCACTTCCTTGTTGTTTTTGGTCTGGTCTGGTCACTCAACCCAGAGAGGCCATTCAGAGTCATCAGCATCAAACTCTTGCTCAGCTTAGCTGGGCCTGTCGGCCTGATGGGGGCACTGTGTAACACGCCCCATGGGCCAGACCCCCAGCTGGTGTGAATCACCCCGGCATCGACGGAGACACACGGGTTTACACCAGCTAAGGGATTCCAGCTCATCCCTGCCCCCATCCCACTGCTGATGAGCTCTGTGCCCAGTGCCCTCTCTTCATCTCTCGCCCAGCCCCACAGGATGCTGACCATAGCTGCCCCCACTGATTATCCTTGGGAGGGACAGATGGATTTGGTCTGGGTGGCCTCACGGCATCGGGGAGGGCTGGAGATAGAGTCCTGCCCCTCCAGGGCACCAGTTTAAATTAGGCCCGGGATGGTAGCGTGCAGGAGCCAGTATCTGACAGCTGTCGGGAGGCCCTTAGTGAGCTGCTGGGTCTCAGTCCACTTCCTAGCTGCAGTGTCCACATGGCTGCCCCAGCAGAGAGGCCAAGGGCTGGCTGGCTGGTGGGTACACCTTCCCCCCTCACCTCTAGACATTGGGGCACGACGCAGGAGCTGGGCAGGGTGTGGGGGAAGCCTGCCCAGCCGCTGCCATGCTGTGCCTGTTTGGGGGGCTTCACTCCCCTGCCTGTCCCGTGCTAGCTTCATGCAGGGTGCGCTGCAGACCAGACGTGACCCCCGCGCTGCTGGGGTGGGCCGTTACTCACGCCAATGGGCGTCAATGCTCAGCCATGTCAGCGAGGGCTTTGCAGCCAGGCCCTGAGTGGCCGTTGTCCATTATCTTTTGATATTGGGAATTCCAAAGCTTTGTGCAGCCCACGAAGGGTGAAATTGAGACCTCTCCGCTCCGTGTAGCCAGAGAAAGCAGACAAAATCCTCGGCTGGCGTAAGCTCCATTGCATCTGTGGGCCAGATTCCCAGCTGGTGTAAAACCCACAATACTTCCATTGACCTCCTGCCGATTTCCACCGGATGAGGATCCGGCCCCTTGTTCTAAATGAGTTGGGACATGCAGCCCCTGCACCCACAGCTGGAGAGTCGGGGGGCGGGATCCTAGAGAGACAGCTGGAGCTGGGGTTCTCTGAGCCCCTTTTCTTTGTGTTTTGCAGGCCTGCAGGTAAGCGGTCGCCCTGCCGCTGGAGGGGAGACACTGGGAGCGGTGATGTATCTTGGGGGAGGCGGGGGAAGTGCCCCTTCCTTCCATTGCATGCTCAGCCTCTCCCAACCTCGCATGGCTGGCGCCAGCTGCCAGAGAGATAGAGCTTAGTGGTGCAGGACTGGTGCCGAGACTCAGACAGGACCACTGGGAAGGACAGGGACTGGAGCAGGGCAGCAGGGAAGGGAGTGGAGTGGTAGCACCAGAGAAGGAGAGAAGGGCAGGCTGAGGAGACAGAGAAACCCAAAGAGGCAGGATGGGGAGGGATTGTGGGAAAGAGGTGTGGGAAAAGAGAGACAGGGATTTAGGAGCTTGGGTGGGGGCAGAGACAGTAGAGACATAGGGGTTTAGGAGCTCCAGGTGGGGAAGAGAGAGACAGCGGAGATGTGGGGGTTTAGGAGCGTGAGTGGGGGCAGAGTGCCATTCTCTCCAGTGCCTAGGCTGAAGCCCATCACCCTGCTGTTTGTTCAGTTACTTTGTGGGAGGTGGTGGGGATTCCTGCGTGGGAAGCCCTGTATGCCCACCCAAGACTGACTGGGGGTTTTGCTGTCTGCAGAATGGCCAGCGGGGGAGGATGGACAGAGGGAACTCCCTGCCCAGCATGCTGGAGCAGAAGGTAAGAGCCGTGGCTGGGGGCTCTGCAGGCCTGGGGCCAGGATGCAGCATGTCCCAGCCATGGGCTGGGATGCTCACACATTCGTCTTGTTACATGCTGCTGGCTGGCTGGCTGGGGGGTGTGGACTAGCGGGCGTGCCCTACTGCAGGCTTTCTGTGGGTGGTGGAACATGCCCCATTGCAGGCTGAGCTGGGGGTGTGCGGTGGGGATGGGATGCGATGGGGACAGGGACAGGCATTTTAATGAACCCTGCTGTTTAACTGTGTTGTCCCTGGCTCTCAGATTTACCCCTATGAGGTGCTGATGGTGATGATCAGGGGTCGTGTGAAACTGCCTCTGGGAGTGGACAGAACAAGGCTAGAGGTACGGATGGGGGATGGGGCATCTCACTGGGCCCTGCAGTGTCTGGGCCCAGGGGAGGGAGGGGGCCAAGGAAACAACTGCTGACAGATCCCGGGGCAGAGTGGGGGGTGGTTCAGGGTAAAACAGCTGGAGAAAGACATAAAGGAGAAGGGGAGAGGGAAGAGAGAGTTAATGTTTTATGGCCCCTGGACTTGGAGCACCGCCTGCTGCCACCCCATCCCCGAGCTGCCCTCCCCTGCTGCCCTTCTCCTGCACAGCCCTGGGTATTTTGTTCTCTTATACCAATGCTAAAGGTGGAAGTTAATTCGATTAGAAAAGGAGGGAGCCAGGCTCTCGCCCCATGGCTACATGGGTTGGGCACCTGCCACAGGGGCCCAGGCACAGCAGACTCCATGGCCCTCACCTACAGTGGGCACATGCAGTGTGAGGTCAGGGACTCAGCCAGCAGGGAGTGGTCAGTGTCTGCTGGGGCCCAGAGGGAAGCTCTGGCATTCAGGCCTGTTCTCCACACCATGTGGCAGTGGGTTAGCTGAAGGCATGATGTTAAACCGAGGCGACTCTGGGCCTGTCTGCGCTGCAATCAGAGGCGTGACTGCAGCAGGGATAGAGATCCCTGAGCTAGCTTTGATCTAGCTACGGTGGGTACCAACAGCAGTGAATCTGTGGCAGCACGGGCTGTACAAGCCCACGTGGGGCAAGCTAAACTGCTGTAACCAGTTTAAAGGCAATATAAGAGAGTCTACACTGGGGGTTGCATTGGTTTAACTAAATCATTTTTAAACTGATTTATGTTAAACTGATGCAACTTCTGTGTGTAGACATGTCTAGTGTGAGGGTTTGTATTAGGACTGGATGGGAAACCGATTTTCCATCTTGGGGGAAATTCCACCATTTCAGAAAAAAAATTCTATACCAAAACACAACGAAAACAAAACATTAGAAATTTCTTGAGAAATGAAATTCCAGTTTTTTGTTTGTTTGTTTTGCGTTGATCAAAATGTTTTGTTTCAATAAAATGGTTTCATTCTGATTTTGATTTTTTAAAATAATATAAAATAAACAATATTTGAAATGAAAAGTTTTTTCAAAATGGAAAATTGAACCCCCCCCAAAAAAACGCAGTGGTACACGCACACGTGTGCTCACACGTGCACACTGATCTGGCACAGAGACATATACACACAAACTGACCTCATACACCTGCATACACACTGATCTGGCATTTACCCACAGGCACTGATCTGGTGCACACACACACACAGATTTTGTGTGCACACACACACTGATCTGGTGCACACAATCATACACACACACTGATCTGGCACACACACATACACATGCACAGACACACACACACTCTGATCTGGTGCACATACACACACACAGATTTTGTGTGCACACACACACTGATCTGGTGCACACACACACAGACACACACACACTCTGATCTGGCACATGCGCACACACACACACACACACACACAGAGTGACTGGTGAATAACACCCACTGTTTCTCTCCCTCCAGCGGCACCTGTCCCCAGAGGATTTCCACCGTGTCTTCGAGATGTCCCTGGAGGAGTTCAGCAAGCTGGCCCTGTGGAAGCGGAACGAGCTGAAGAAGAAAGCTTTCCTGTTCTGAGCCGCGTGCCCGGCCTGAGCCAACCCTAGCCGTGATCTCAGTTAGTGTCAAACACAATCTCGCATCACAGCTGCTTTAGGGCTACTGAGCCAGTTTTAACACCTGCCTCCCTTCCCCGAAGCCCCTCAGGCACGTTGATCCCTCATTCCCAGTTTTGCCTCTCCCTAGGGGATATCGGAGAGCCTCTCCCTGCCCAAACCTTCCCCCTCACACGCTCGGGGGGACCGCTGGCAACGCTGGTGGGCTGCTCAGTCTGGGTCAAACCTCTTTTAATGGAGCCAGGGGAGGGAGAGTTGAACAAGTGGAGGGAGGAGCAAGCAGACCCTAGTCAGCCAAGGTCCCTGGGCTGGGTGATGTGTAGGGGCTTCTCGGGGGCAGGGCATCAGTGTCCCTCTTTGCCTGTTGGGGTCGCGGCTGGTTCAGCCAGGATGGGAGCCATAGCTACTGGAGGGGACTCTGGCAGGGGCCCTGGCTGGACAGAACAGGGACACACCGTACTGTTTGGTTGCTGGACACATGTTGGTTTAGGTGTAAGGGAAGTCAGGGCTGCTTCTACCTTGCTGCTGGGCCCTGACTGGCTCCCCCACTTCAGGACCCTGCTCCCAGCCTTACTGCTCCTCTCAGGGCCAGCTTCCCGCCCTGTCAACACTGGGTAGGGCACATGTATATATCTGAATAGCTGTAACTCCGACGTGGGCCACGGGGGCTGCCGGGTGTCGCCATGGCTGCGTTTCTGAGTGGCCGGTCACCAATGGGGTTGCCATTTGCCTAGAGTAGGCTCCAAAGAGCCATGATCTTCATTAGCAGCCACTCCCCATGGACCCACCTGCAGGCGGGGTCCCGTCCTCGTAATCAAATGCCCTTCGGTGGAGCTGGGAGGGGGCACAAGAACCTCTCGCTGGAGAGAACTGGAGAATCAGAACCAACCCTTCTGAGGTCATCTCTGTCTCACTCTCGCTCGCTCCTGGCCTCCCCCTCCTCTCCCCACTCCCACCATCCCTCCCCCTAAATTCAATCCCTAGGTGGACATGACCGAGCACCTCCCAAGTTCTCAACCCAATGGCCCAGGCTCTCAAACCACAGAGCTCCCCATTAAGGCTACAGCCCCCACTCCCCACCCCTTGCAGCTGCCTCTGGGGGAGGGATGCTCTTAGCTCGATTGTTTCAGGCCTTAGTAGTTGATGATTTTGCTCCTGCCCCTTTGTGAAGCCTCAGTCAAAGCCCAGCGGCCGCCCCGCTAAGCCCAAGGCCTTTCCCCAGGTTTGGCAGAGGAGTTTGCCTGAGCAGTGAGAGACTCAGGGCTTGAGGCTGGAGGGGAGCCTAGAGGCAGCCCATCACGTTCTCTCCAGCCTGGCATGCGATCTCTGGCAGCCATCTCACTCTGTCCTCCTCAGGCCTCCCGGCTACGATGTCCCTCTCCCCGTGTACCCCGTGGGGTGCAATAACCCTCTGCTGTGGAAACCACACCATCAGTACACTGCCACAAACTGCAGGCTGTCCCCTGCTGACACGCCAGGTGAGGTCCGACTCTGGCTTCCCAGACGCAGTGGGTAACCAACCAGGGCTCAGACAAGCCAGCTCTCGCTATGCCCAAGGATGGAACTTCATCAGGCAGTGACAATATTTTAGAGCTGGTGCGGGTGTGGGGATGCCTGTGTCAATGCTAGGTGAAGGAGCAGAGAGGATGCCAAGGCAGGGGGCTCTGTGCAGCTGCCTCAGTAGCTAGGAAGCCAGGCCCTGTGCAGTGACTAGCAGAGACTGATGTGGTGCCGATCCCTTGTGGACCCCGGCCTCATTGCCAGGCCCTGGAGTTTGGAAATAATCACCCAAGATTGCTCTGCATCCTGCACACAACCCCGCCCAAGCCCCGTTCCCCGTACGCTTCAGAGCCGCCTGCAAGGAGCAGTGTGTCCTGGAAAGGGCAGGAAACTTACCAGTATCCTGGGGGGTTGTTCCACGCTATGCTTCTTGTTTGCCAGAGGGCAAGCTCGGCTTCCAGCCCAGCTGCGGTCCCCACCTCAGAGCCACCTCTGAGATCTCTCAACCAAGCAAAGAGTAAACAGCCGGGAGACTCCCCCTTCCAGATAGGGTATTGATCAAAGGGGATCCAATGAGCCTATGTTTGGATCAGCTGGCCTGTCTCGGGCAGACCCTTACCCAGCGGAGCAGGAGCATTGTAGAGAGGTGAGCCACGCTTTTCTCTGAAATGTCAGCTGTTGGCAGGATATTGGCCTGGCAGCCCGATCCTGCACATGGACGTCTGTGGAAGCTCCCTATGTGGGGCACATGCAGGACAGTCTAGTGGTCTGATCGCCATCCCATCTGGGCTAATAGCACCTTACATGCCTCCAGGAACAAACCCAAGGAGCTAACAATTTCCTTTGCTTTGGGGGTATTTTTAAAAGTCAAAATAACCAGCGGTCGAATAGGGGAACTGGCCCCCCATTAGCCAAACGATTTCCTGGTCTGTTGCTCCTTTCAGTCCCCCTCCTGGGTCCTTTTTCTACTGTGCACCACATCTGCTCCGTAGCGCTGGCCTGAGACCCACCCCCCTGCGCTTTCCCTTTTCAACCACTGCCCCACCACTACACTCTGTCGGGATGTAAAGAATGTAATTTATTGGGAAATCCCTGGCCCATACTTGCCTTTCACTGCTACTTATATGACATATCTATAAATATATATATATAAATATGGATTTTTTTCTGATTTGAATACAGTGATTCCCCTTTCTCTGTTTATTTTTTGCTGATGTCGGAGATTCCACGTGAGAGTGATTTTTTGTTTATAATTAAAGGTGAAATGGCTTTATTCAACACCCACCTCTGCTGATTTTTATTCCTATTCGCTTTAGAGTGGTGTTAAATAGCATTTTGCACCTTCCAGACAAGGACTGCAAAGCGGTTCACAGGCCTTAAGAAATTCAGCCTCACCCTCGCAGGAGGGGATATTTGTAATTCAATGTTACAGGTTGGGAAAGCGAGGTCCGAAGAGGAGGGACTTGCCCAAGATAATGCAGTGCGTCAGAGTCAGGAATTGCACCCAGGAGTCTGGGCTGCTCATTTTTTCTGTTCTGGCCACTAAACTTTATTTAGCTCCAAGAGCTAGGAGTAAAAACCCAGGAGTCCCTGATTCCTAATCTACTGCTCTAAGCACTAGGAAACACTCCCTCTTAGGCCACTGACCCCCTAGGCTTGAGAGCCAGAACTGCAGTCCAAGCCATAAAATCCACACTGCTATTTTTAGCATGCTAGCTCAAGCCCCACTAGCCTACCTGGGTTGGAAAGCTGGCTCCCAGCTGCAGTGTAGACGCAGTCACGCACCAGAAGTGTCCAGTTATTAATATTGATCCCTTGCCCTTCTCAGTGTTTCCCATCTGGATGCACTTTCCAGCCGTTAGCGAGTTAAGTCTCAGAACCTGTCGTCTGTCCCCCCCCCCCCACACATGCAGGGTACGTCTGCACTGCACAAAACCCGTGGCAGACACTCTCAGAGCCCGGGGTCAACTGAACTGACTCAAGCTGGTGGGGCTCACGCACTATGTGACTATGGGGTTAAAAGCAGCCGTGTAGATGGTCCTGCTCAAGCTGTGAAACCCAGCGGGGGTCCCTGTGAGTACCACCATTTCCATGTCACAGGCACAGCCCAGGGAAGTGACTTGCCCAAGATCACAGAGCAAATCAACGGCAGAGCCAGAAAAAGAACCCAGGAGTCCTACCTCCCATTCCTTTTGGACCTGGTTTTCCCAGGCCCATGTAGGGTGACCAGACAGCAAATGTGAAAAATCGGGACAGGGGGTGGGGGGGTAATAGGAGCCTATATAAGAAAAAGACCCTCTATAAAATTGGGACATCTGGTCACCCTAGGCCCACGCTAACCCATTCTGCATGCCACAGCCCTTCTGACTCAGGAGTGGGGCGTGAGCTGCGTCCACACTGCAGAATAACAGGGCTGGCACACGAGTCACAGTGGGACCTACCCGCCAAGCGGCTCCTAGGACCCGGGTCTTGAGTGCTGATGTTTTCTACGAGCTCGGACCCAAACCTGAGCCCGCGCCTGCAGCCGGACGTTGCGCCCTGCAGGTGGCGGTGCTGCTCCGGGGAGTCGGCGGCTGGCCCCGGCCCTTCCTCCTGGAATCCCGGGCTCGGCCCCCTCCCCTCCCGGCATGGGCTGCGCTGGGGCCGGGGCTGCGCCGCTCCTGTGCGCCCGGCTTCACCGGCTCCGGCGCCCGCGGAGGAGAGGGCGCCCGGCGCTATGTGAGCGGCCCACGCCGGAGCCTGCCCCAGCGCCCCCCCTGCAGCCGGCGCCATGGAGAAGCAGAAAGGTAGCGCTCCCCTTGCCAGCCCCCGGGGCTGGGAACCCCTCCGCGGAGCGGGGCTGGCGGTAACCGGGGTGGGCGGGTGCCAGTGGGTGAGAGTTGAACTCAGCACCTCTGCCTGTGCTCTCTGGCACCCATAGGTGCTGGAACGAGGGGTGCTGGGGTGGGGGCTGCCACACTCCCTGGCTTGAAGCGGTTCCCATCATATCCAGGGTTTGGTTCAATGGCTGTCAGCGCCCCTCGCTCGACAAATTGCGCCAGCCTCATGGCTGGCATGTGCCTGCCGCCGCCGGTGTGGTTAGACAGCGGCTGGCGGGTTCCTTTTCCAGGTGGTTGAGCGTGCGTCGCGTGTTGCCCGGGAGCAAGGCGTTGACATACATGTAGCGGTGCCAACGTGCCATCGGTGCCGCCTCTCTCTTGCAGAGTGGGCTCATTCGATAGCACTCTTAGGCAGTTCTCTGCTCTGGGGTATTTGGTTGGGAGGTCGGGGATCTCCAGGGGTGAGGGCTGTGACCCATGCCTGGAAGAGCCCTTCTCTCTGCCGCTTGGGAACACGCTGCCCAGAGAGGGAATTCCAGAACTGCCATGTCTTCTCTGCAATCCTCCTCCCTTATCCCTTCGTGGTATGAGTCATCTTGCAGTTGGCCACCACAGCTCAGAAATCTGGAGTCCAGGCCCTGAGCCGCTGAGATGGCTCAGGAAGCAGAGATCAAATTAGGAGAACCTGGGATTGGAGGGAAGCGACTTCCCTGGGAATGGGGTCATTCTGGCATGGGATACAGAGGGCCTCACGGTCTCACATCCAGGTCCTGAGCTCCCCACAGCAGCGCTGGGTGTCAGAATGGGATGTCGGGGCTGAGATGAGATCTCTGCAGAAGTGGTTGTTTCCCCATCCCTGGCTTCTGCTTCATAGGGGGTGATAGTGCAGGAGGAGACTTTATCCGGGGGGAGGTGGGAGTCACATCCCGATCCCAGTTGATCTCCCTTTAAAGGACTGACAGAGGCCCCTGATGGGGGTGGTTCTGTCTGCTTTGTGCACCCAGCTCTGAGCCTTGCATCTGAATTCCTGGCAGCTTTCCCAGTCCCTAAAGGTGACCTGGGGGAAAGGTATCGAGATCAAGCGCTAGCTGCTGAATGGCCTTAAAACATTGGCATCTCAGACACATCCCAGTCTTCCTTCACCTTTTCTCCACCCCGCTGCTGTTGCTGGGAATGCACTGCAGATGGGGGATTGCTGCATTCCGACATCTCTGGGCTGTCCAAAGGTTGCCATGACCGTGGTGGCTCGGTCCCAAGGGGCTCGATATACCCCTGTGCCCATGGTGGGATCTGGCTAAAAGAGAGCCCTGCATAGGGAGCTGGCCAATCTGTTGGTGACAACAGACCTGCGCTGGTGCCTGGGACGCTGAGATCTGTAGCGTGCAGGGTGTTTGTGTGTTTCCTTGCAACAGGGCACACTTTTAGCAAGTGTTTAGCATCCTGATTTTATATGTGCCCTTGGGGCTCACCTGAAAGCCAGCCCCTGTCCCATCCCGCTTATCCAAGTTTTGTCTCCCTCTGAAACTCAGGCTATTATTATTTGGCAGTGCGGTCGAGCGGATGGGGCGTCAGACTGGGAGCCAGGACTCCTGGATTCTATCTCTGACTCTGCCAGTAATCTGCTGGATGACCTTGGGCAAGTCGCTTCCTCTCTCTGTGCCTCTGTTTCCCCTCCCACCCATTGTCCGTCTTGGATTGTGAGCTCTTTAAAGCAGGGGCTGTCTCTTACTATGTGCTTAGCAGAGTGGGGCCTTGATTTCACTTGAGGGCTCCGGGTGGTACTGTCATGTAAATAATAATAGAGGTCTCAGTCAAGGATCAGGCCCCAATGTGCTAGGTGCTGCACAAATGTGCTATATAAAACCAGCGTCTGCTCCAGGGAATTCCCAATCTGAGATGGTGACACACAGATGAACAGACCTGTGTGTGTGTGTGTCCAGGGCGGGGAGTAGGGACGACGACAAGATGACAGTGAAGCCTTTGCATAAATGAGTGGGCTTCGTTCCTTCTCCTGCTAGCATTGCTGGAAGACTGTATCCCTCCGCCAACACCTGGCTGAGTTCGGTGACTCTGGCTTTTGCACTACTTTAAAGAGGAGGCGCTTGGGGCTGGTCCCATGGGCACTCTGGAGCTGGGTGATGGAAGCCTCAGGCAGCACACCGGGGTCTATGGCATGACCCCTTTCCCTGGGGAGCTCAGCACCCACCTCCCCCGAACACGGGCGCACGCCTTCAGGGCACATCACCTAGAGCCTCTGAATGGACAGTGGCCCAGCCATCGCTGACAGCAGCAGGGGAACGAGGTGTTAGGAATGGGTTGGTGGAGGAGCTGGATTTTCCATGTGCCTTTCCCTGCACTGTCTAGACTTCCCCAGCTCCACGGCAGTTCCTGTTCTTTGGGCCGCTGTGAAAGTTGCTCCTACGGTTCCCAGTAAGGGGCCTGCTAGACATGGGATCGGGGCATGGGGACCCGGACAGGGCACGTTGCTGCAAGCAGCAGCTATTGCGGGAGGAGACGGGAATGGGGGCAGATGCGTTTACCTTCAACTGCTCATTCTCTCCATGGAAACCGAGGCAGCTGTTTTCAATCTCTGTAGCATTTACTTGGCCTGGGATGTTTGTGGATGGCGCGTTGTCAGGGGCGAGTCGGAGACCCCTTGGATTGCAGCAGCCAGGCTTTCAGCGCCAGGGAACGACGCTCATACAAGCACAGGCACGCTGACACACAAGCGTGAGCACACATCTGCAGGCACACACGCTCATAGGCATGTAGACACAGCCACGTGCACACCCTGTCATTTAGACAGCCACCTGTGCACACGCAAGCACACAAACCTGCATGCACGTGTGACAAAGCGAGTGAGCTCACATGGGCGCGCACACACCTTTGTGCACGCATACATGTGCGACAAAGCACGGGGTGCACATGATCTCGTGCACACACACACAAGTCCATCGGACTAAACCCACATGAAATGCAGTGCGCGCGTGCACAGAGCTCTCCCGTTGTTGACATTACAGAGGAGGAGCGCTGCTTCCCACAGGCCCGTGGGCGCTAAATGCTCTGACTCATCCCTTGCACGTTGGGTGGCTTCCTCCCCCAGCCCTCATGTCATGTGTTCCTGAAGCGCGTTGCTCTCTGGGTGCCAGGTGAGCCCCTGAATGAGCTTGTGACAGACCATCATTGACGTGTGGGGGGCTGGGGGGAGGAGAGTTAATGGCAGGGCAGGTCCTGTCAGAGCTGGGCTTCTTGCTTGTAGCTGTGGGTGCCAGTGGACTGGGTGCGGGGTTCTGGGGAGCTGGGGGATAAGGCACGAGCAGGTACAAGGCGAGAGTTGAGGGGAGATGTGGCCCCTGGGCAGGGGTGGGGGGGGAAGAGGAGCGGTGCTGGGAGTGGAGGGGATGTCATCACAGAGGAATTCAGACTCTGCTGGGGTGCGGGGAGGAAAGAGGGAAATGAGGAGAGGGGGAGACCAGAGGGGAGCAGCAGGGAGTGCTCAGTGCACAGGGCCCCCTGCCTGGCCTGGCAGAGGTGGGCTGGATTCCCTTCCCGGGGCTTCCTGGATCTGCGCTGGAGGAGCATGCTGGCTCTGCTTGTGCTGTGCACAGGGATGTCTCCCTCGCCCGAGTTCTCCCTTCTTGATTTCCAGAAAACAATCCCCCCCCCCCCCCCCCCCGCTTCCCAGTGCCCCCCTGCCCTGCTGCCCCTGGACAAGGTGCAGGGAATTAGTCATTACCCTCTCCCCACCCCCCCGCCTTGCCCTGTTTCTAGGGAAGTTCAGATGTTTGGATCCCCTCCTGCTTTGCTAAACCCATCTCCCTCCCAGATGTTTTCTCTCCTGCAGGCAGTGACAGTTTGCACATGCTCCCTGCCTGCCCTTGCTCCCCTGTCCCAAATCCCTCCCTCTCCTCTGAGCATCTCTCTCTTTGTCCCAGGGCCCTGCATGGCTCTGCAGCACCCCCTGTGGCAGGTGCATGCACTGATGGTGCAGAGGCCCAAGCCTGGGGAGGATCCAGGGGTCAGGCAGGCTGGGAGGAAGGCACGGGAGCAGCAGCTGGGGACAGGATGGATGAGGCCAAGCTCCTGTTGAACCCCATACTGACCCAGGCTGCAGGATTGCTGAGCAATGTCAGAGCGTTTTGCTCCCTTGAGCTGCAGATGGGGCCCAGGTAGGATGCTGGGGCTCTGGGAATGCAAGGGGGTGGTGCCAAAGGAGAGGATGGTATACAAAGAGAAGTGAGCCCAAGCTGCATAGAGAGTGGGCCGGAGAAGAGGAATCATGCATCACTCAGCCGCCACCCCCTGGGGGAGCCCAGCAGCCCCTGTGCTGGCTGACTGCCCACCTCTCTCTCTTCCTCTGTTCTGTTTCCCACATCCACCCACCCACCCTCCCTTGCCATGTCGCCAGCCGCTTCGCTCTCCTCTTCCCTTCACCCAGTCTCTGAGCCGCTCATTGGTCGTTCTCCACCCAGTGGGTTTGTGCGAAGGATGGGCAGGGAGCTGAAATCCCCACCTCTGCCAGCACAGGATTCCTTGCAGTGCTGAGAACCAGGCTCACCTCAGCCAGGTGCTTGCTCCCCCTCAAACCGCCCTGATGCTGCTCCAAGGACCTGGGCCATCTACCGCTCTGCTGCATCCCCAGCCATTTACAAGGCGCTTCAACATTTGCTCTCTCCCCTGGATGCAGCCAGGCCTTCCCGAGGAGTCGCACGACATGACTCTGGTCCGTGTGTGGGGAGGATTACACCTTCTTCTGAATCATCAGCTATTGGCCTCTGCAACAGGCAGGTCGTGGGACTAGATGGGCCCATTGGTCTGATCTGTAGAGACTGGGGCTTGGTGGGCCTATTGGTCTGACCCAGCGCAGCAGAGAGCTGTGGGGACCAGGCTGGACCAACTGGTCTGATCAGGAGTAGCAGGGGGGTGGGGATACTGAGCTAGATGGGCAGGGCAGGGAGGTGAGACTATCATCCTGGATGGAGGGGCCGGTTCAGCAGCAAGGAAGGATTCCAGCTCAAACGGATTTGTGGTCCAATCTGTGAATTAGGAAGCAGGGTGGTGGGAAGGGGGAATGGGGGGAGGGACAGACACAGTTCTGTGTTCTTGACCGGCGTGGCCGAATCTGAAACTGGAATCCCATGATGAAATATGACCTCGGCTTTTCTTGCCCCGTGGGAACGTGAGACAGCAGGTCTGCAGCCTTCAGAACTACAGGGTGCGGGGTGTGGGAATAAAGCACAGTAAACCCTTCTGTTTTATGAGCCAGGACTGGGGAGGTGGGAGAGGAGCGGGGGCTGTCTCGCTTCTGCGCACTTGGCAGCTCCGTATCAGTCTTTCCAACATCCTTGCAACACACGGAGTTTGGGCCCCTTTCCCAGCCCTCTCCTCTGCTTGACCATCCTGTGAAGAAGCCAGGACGTTTCCTCGCGCCACTTACTGACCACATGGCTTGCCATGGGTCTGATGGTGCACACTGTGTTCACTGATCACGGCCCCCTTCTCAAACCACCGGGTCTGGCGTGCCCACTGGCTGGATTATGCATTAGATCCTAACCAATATAGCTCCAGCTGCTAGCCGATGTGTGAGTGCATCAGTGCTGGGCACATTCATGTTTGTTTAGCTGCCCCCATGGAAATGTTTGGGGACAGTGGCCACTCCCCATCCAACACTGCAACCCGATCTGCTGCTGGAGAATGTTAAAGCTGAGGGAAATTGGAAAAGGGCAAAGGAAAGAGCAGGAGATGTTGCCTAAGAGCGAGATCTCTGGGTACATCCACACTGCCGCCGGAGTCGTCATTTTCTAGCTCACGTACCCGGGCATGTGCTAGCGTTGATTGAGCCAGCACACTAAAAGAAGCAGTGCAGCTGCAGGGGCACGAGCTAGCCGCCTGAGTCCAGTCCCACTCAAGATTGTAGGTAGGTATTAGGGTGTCTAGCCGATCCCACTGCCCGTGCTGCCATGGCCGCACTGCTGTTTGTAGTGCACTAGCTCACAGCTACTGCCGTGTATGTCTGCCCACGCTGGGAATCACACCTCCAGCTGCAGTGCAGCCGTACCCTGCAAGGCTGTAGAATAGTCCCCAAAGGAAGTGGTGGGAGCCCCATTGGGACTGGCCGAAGAACGGCCCATGGGGAACAACCCTTCCCTGTTTCCTGCTTGGATGAACTGTGAGCCCCGGTAGATTCCGTCCATTGTTGTGAAAGGCAATGTTGCCTAAGAGCGAGATCTTGGGTGTGAGTCGGCGCTCTCCTACCAGGGCGGGTGGTAGCAGGAGAGGCTGGCCAGACTGGGGGCTAAGAGATGTGAGTGATTCCCTAGCCGAGTAGGTGAGGAGGACGGAGGAGAGAGCCACGTGTCCATGGATGGAAAGGTGCTGGCATGCTAGAACGGAGGTGAAAGGGGAGTGTCATCGGAAAACAACATGGGTCTGTCAATATGACTTGAGAAGCCGCCGACCTGACCCTCCCCAGCTGGAGGGTAAGGGTGGCGCTTCATCTGTAGCCCGGTCCCAGGCAGCGGGGCAGGCTGCTTATATCAGATAGACTTGCAGCTGATGAGAAACTTCCTCCCCCACCTCCCATTGTGCCAGGCCAGGGCAAAGGAGGAATGCGATGCAATCTCTCCCCTCACTGGCCCTTGTGACCGGCTCCCACGGCGTGACCTCCCAGGACCGGGCACATAGAGCCATTAGGAGCCTGTCTGTGTGTTCAAACGTGTAGAGGAGCAAGGGGCAAACTGAGGGGCTGAGCATCTTCCCCAGGGTGGGTGGTTCCAGGCCTTCCCTCGCAGGTGGGCTGGGATTGCAGCCCCTGCCAGCTGCACTGTGATCGGGAGAGGGGGACGTGGGCCCATTGGGCTGGGCAACGTGGTGCTGTTGGGGGAAGGCTGGGCTGCATGCTTTGGTGTGGCGGAGGTGCTGAGGAGTAGGAGTGAGATGTGTTTGAGCTGTGTGTGTGTGTGCTGGGAGGAGGGCTTGGGTTGTGTGTTTTGGGAGATGCACTGAGAGAACAGGTGCGTGTGTTTGGGAACTTGTGTGTGCAGAAAGGGGTGCATTGGGCTGTGTGCCCGGGGAGGGCATGGTGTGTCTGGGGGCACTGTGCTGTGTGTCCAGGGGTGTAGTGTACCTGGGGGGGCGCGGACGGTGTGCCCTGGGGGGATGATGTGCTGGGGATGCTGTGCTGTGTGCCTGGGACATATGTTTCCTCATTAATCAGATAAATGACTATCTGCGTAAGGATCTGGGGAAGAGGGATGGAGCTGCCCCCTGCATACTCACATACCAGGAGCCTTGTGGAGCCTCTCTGCCCTCCCTCCCTCCCCCCAGGGACCTGTCAGGGTCTTGTTGCTCCCCCAGGGGGTGGGGCCCCTCTCATGGTTGTGAGAATGCCAGCTGGGGGGGTGGAGAATCTGGGGGAGCTGTTGACCGTGATCTGTCCAGAGACTCATCAGGGAAGTGCCATGGGGAGCCATCTTAAACCCTGCCCCCGCTCCCCCGGGCCTGGGGACACCGAGCTGAGGTTAGAACAGCTCTGCCTGCACTGCCCTCCCAACAGGCCCTATGACGTGGCAGTTCCCTACGGTGGTGAGGTGTCCAGAGAGAGCGGGCACCATCTCTGCCATGGGGAGCAGGGCCCATGGGCTCCCTTGTGGCTCGTCACCGCCGTGAGGGGGTTCCAAGGAATGAAGTCAAAATGGGCCTGGTCTCAGCACTGTCCCACCCCCCCCCCCGGGGGGGCAGGGAGGTTCCCTGGGGGGTGGAGGATGCCCTCTTTGGGTAGGGTCAGGATGGGAGGTTGAGGGGGCCTGGGGTGGGGCCTTTAGGGCAGGCTTGCCATGGCTGGGCAGAATGGGCTCGGTGGAGCATTCCCAACATCGTAACTGTTCCAGGCAGCAAATTGCAGCTTTGCGTTCGGGGGAACCAATGAGGGAACATCGGTGCTGGGGGGACGAGGAAAAGGCCGCCCGGGCCCCAGGCCAAGAATCAGTGGGTTTCGTCAGCGGGCCTGCAACATTTTATCACAGCTGGGAGCGGGGAGTGGAGCCTGGAGCCGTCCGGAGTGGTGCCGAGAAGGGAGACGCAAAACATTTCCAGATGCATGGCGGAGAGGAGGGAAGAGCAGCCTGGCAGGGCGGGTGAGGAGCAGCCTGGCAGTGGGGAAGCAGAAGGGGGGGAGTCTGTGTTACCCCCTCTCTATGAGGACGGGGGAGCTGCTGGGGGCTGGAAGGGAGCGTGAGGAAAGCTGGCAGCACCGTCCAGGTCTCCACCCTGGGAGGAAATTTGGCTGGTCGAGAAGTGGAGCAGGGCCAGGCTCTGGGGTTCCGCTGGCGATTTCAGGCCTCTGCAGCAGAGTTCAGGCGGTGGGCAAGCTGTGACCTGGGTGTCTCCTGCATGTCTACCCATGCTGTGCCCTCTGCTCGGTGTCATTCCTGGGAAAACTGATGGGGATGGTGGGGGTGGGGTTGTAAACTGACTGGGGAAGGGGGAAGAAGCCCCTCCTCCACCGTATGTTTCTTGAATGCAGGAAACTGCTGCTGGGACATAGAGCAGACACAGCTCCTGTTTGGGGCTAGAATCTGGAGGGCCCCTTCCACCGTTTATGGCCCAGGTAACGCTTTGCATCTCTTAAATGGCTGTGGTGAGAATGCCGAACCCCTGCTGGGGACCAGGCTCGCCCAACTCGCTGTGCTTGTGACCCGAGCTGGGATTCGAACATGGCTTTGCCGAGGTGTAGGAATCCACGGAGCCATCACCGGGCAAAGGGCAGATTCCAAGGGTTTGGGTCAAACCCACAGCTCCTTTCTGGGTCTGCCATCCCAGTGCCAGGCTGTCTGGAACAAGGGATTGCTTCTGGACACAGGGCAAAGCCAGGCAGGGATTAGCAAACCCAACGCAAGGGGTGGTTTGCGTCTAGGTTCTGTTTGATCGGAATCCCCGAAGTTCTAGATTTTCAGGAGTGCTGAGTGCTCATGAATTCTGCGGACGTCAGTGGTAGCTGCAGGTGCTCAGTCCCTCTGCAAACCAGGCTGCTTCTTTCGGTGTCAATCTGTAAGGCCCCAAGTGTGAACATTTTGGGATAAGCCCGTAGAGGGAGGAAGGAGGGCCTCTGGAGAGGACAGATGGTCTGGAGGTCATGAGCCTGGGAGGCAGGACTCCTAGGTTCATTCTGTGCTCAGTTTGGGGGTGTTGTCAAGTGGCTAGGGCAGGGAGCATAGGCTGCATTTCCAACTGTCACTTACTTGCTGCCCAGCACTGAGCAAGTCACTGCCATGCTCCGTGCCTCAGTTTCCCCCTCGTAGCATAGCGGGAGGGGGGTAATGATCCATTCAGAATCCCTCTTGTGGTGCCAGGTGCCTTGGAAATACCAATTATCATTATCCCCAGAGGCTGACAGAGAAGGAGCCAGAGTTGGGAAGTGAATCCAGGCCTGTGACCCAGGATGCTGCTGGCTGGCCCCACAGCACTTAGCTGTGGCTCAGGACAGGCAGGCTCTCCCTGGGCTTTGCCTTTGTTCTGGGCTGATTGGGGGCTTTTATTCCTCTTTCCAAGCCATGCGAGGGGGCGGCGGGCAAATGCTCTGCATTGCACTGGGAACACACCAGCCTTCATCAGCTGTGCTGTTTGGTGCAACATTATCGCCCCCTCCTTCCCTTTCCCTCCCCCCCTTTCGGTGCGTGGGATGTCAGTGAAGGCACGGCGGCTTCTGTGCGCTGGTTGGGGGCACAATTGCCCCGCTGTCTGACAGAGGGGGTCACAGGCGAGGGAGGGGTGAAGAGGCCTAGTTCAGGCAGCAGCCCGGGAGACAATGCCGAGACATTCCTCAGCATCGCTAGCCCGGCGAGGGAGAACAGGGTAGTGGACTGAAAGGAGAGATGTCACCGGAGAACTTTCCAGCCGCCTCTGCATCTTTGATGTGCCCTGGCCAGCCTTCCCCGAGGGGGCGCTTCGGTTCCATCCCCAGCGCTGCCACCCCCCTCCCCGACGCACTGGGGAGCCTCTGGGTCAATCGCTCTCTGGCAGGAAACACTGAGTTAAACTCACCCTTCTGCCAGTCAAACCCCATATTCATCTCTCCTCTCAAAGAACCTGGAAGCCCAGTCCCCCAAACAAGCCTGCTCTTTTAGTGCGGACATAAAGGGCCTTCAGTCTCCCACTGCTGCTTATTCTCTCCTTGTCGCCCCCTTCGGTCACCCTCCCCCCTTCCCTAGCAGCTCTGGGTACCTCTTGTGTCCTCCTCTGAATGGCAGGATTGTGCTGCGAGCTGGGGTCAGGTGCAGGAGATGGGAGCAATGAGTCTGTTCGTCCCCAGATGGCCCGTGGGCGCAAGGAGCCGGTTCTGGGCCAGCCCGGATATAGAGAGCAGGGGAGGGCAAAGGGATATTTTCTCTGCTCCTTGTTGAGGTTGAAAGACTCTTGCCCCAGTCTCGGAAACTCCGGCCCTGGGCCTCGCCCATCGTGCGTTGACCTGTCCCGGACACCCAGAGCTCCATGCGCTCGGCTGGGTGGCTCTAAGGCATTCCCGGGGGTCGGCTGACTCAGCACCCTGCTCTCTTGGGATCCCCCAGTGGGGGGCGATGTGACAGAATGGGGTTCCCCTAGTAACTGCCCTGTTCCTTCTGTGTTGCCTGCAGATCTAGACAAGCTCCTTTTGGACCTAGAGTCCTTCCTGCTGATCCTGGACCGGGAGAACCTCAGCTACATTGCTCAGGCCAAGAAGAAATCCATCGCTGAGCTACTTTCCAGGTTCCAGAGCCCTCCATGTATGTATCCTGCTGCTGGGGCATAGGTATCCAGAGACAGGTGATGATGTGCTAATGACCCATGGGGGCGGCTGTATCCTAATAACTCCACAAGAGGGAACCTTTCTGTAGCAGATCAGATTTGTTCCTGCAGCCCTGTCCATTTCCACAGGCTAGGGTGACCAGATGTCCCGATTTTATAGGGACAGTCCCAATATTTGGGGCTTTTTTAAATATGGGCTCCTATTACCCCTCACACCCTGTCCTGATTTTTCACACTTGCTGTCTGGTCACCCTACCACAGGCTCTCCATGATCCCTGGAAACTGGGCCAGCCAGTCAAATGGCTTCTTTGGTGCTCACCATAGTCCAGCTCTCTGGATCTTTGGTTATCCAGTTTGTCACTCTCTGTAACTTTGCTTACCAATGAGATTGTCCCCTTGGGCCTGCCCAGAGCTGGTTCCATTTAGCCCTTTTTCTTAGCTATGCCTGACCCCGATCTTCTTCCAGCATCCCTGTTATTCCTATGGGTTTGCCCAGTCGTTTTATATCAGCCAATGATGGGGCGTCTGCAAACTGTTCACTCCAGCTCCCAGACTGGAGCGGCTTTCGGCAAAGGAGAATGGTGCATAGTGAATATGAACAAGCCATGGCTGGACTCAGTCTCCAGACCGATCCCCGTCCAAGTCCCTAGAATTTAAGGTTCATTCGGGATTGTCTGGAATCCCCCAGCACCTGCCCGCCGAGTCACCCGACCCCATGGCAGCAGCCTGATCTCAGAGCTTTTATCCACCACTTGTTTGTGGCATTAGTCCCGTCACCTCCTGTAATCCTGATCCGCCTCTTTCCCCACAGCAGAGGACGCAGAGTACATGATCATGCGCTGCATCTCGCCCTCCTCTGGGAGCAGCGCTTTCCAAACGCCGGCTGACCTGAGCCCACGCCAAGGTGAGCAGTGGAGTCGGTACCATGTGGGGGACGCGAGAGGAGTCGCACGGAGGGGCGGGGGGTTCCTAATTATATCTGTCGGGCCAGCTCCTCTTGCCGGTGACACAGCTGCAGTGCAGGCATGAGCACCCTACGTGTGAGATCAGAATCAGGCCGGGTGAGTCAAGGCCAGTAACGGGTTCAGATTTTCTGCCAAATATGCAAAAGTGGCCAGTGATTTCAGTTGCCCTCATTTGAGACACATGCAGGTACCCAAAACTTGGCACCCAGAGGTACTGGGCATGTTTGAAACATCGGCCTATGGGATGGTGGCCGGGACTCTCCGCTTTGGCTTCGAAGGTGCTAACACTGTAGCCCGGTGCCCCAGCCTGCGAGGACGCTCACCCCCTCTGAGGGGAGTCTCAGTGCTACCCATTGCTACAGAGAGCCTGGAGCTCTGTGCCCCACGGCGGCAACTGCACTGAGTGTGGGCCCAAGCTGCCATTGTGGGTACCCAGCTACTGGCCAGGCCCACTCAGCTGCCAGGCTGAGGGATTTGGGTGCCCAGCTCAGGGAATCCACGTTTGCAAATTGGGCTCTATTAGTGATGCAGACTGAACGATCCCAAATGCTTTGGGGCCGGATCCAGCTTGCATCGGCTCCCACGGAGCTGGATCCGGCTTCTCTAGCTCCAGACACCGGGTCTCGCATGCTCTCTCGAGGATCTTCGGCCCACTCTTGGGCCTGGAAGGTTTGGAGCAGAGCAGCTCCAGCACCCGGGGGCTCCTGGCTGCAGCTGGCGCCAGTGGCTAGTTGAAATGATTTTAATCGTTACCTTTCTCAGCAGCAATCTCGTCTCCAGACCCGATGGGAAGGGGAGAGTGTGACTTGCCCGCTGCCAATGGCCAGTGCTCCTCAGGCGGGGTAAGTCTGAATCACTCCAGGTCAGGAAGCAACACGAGAGGGAGACAGAGATCTCCGTTACCTCTGATGCCCAGGGTGGAGTCAGCGGGTGAGCGCTTTGCAGGGTCCCAGCACCTGCTAAGTGCGTGGGGCAGCGGGAGAGCCTGTCACACTGGGGCTGCCCTGCTGTGCCCACTCCTAGGAGGCCAGCCCCAGGCACGGGAGCATCCCAGCCCCTGGCTGTTGCTGTGATAGGACGTGGGAGAGGGAGACCCGGCACATATTCCAAGCAACACTGCACGTCCCTGGGCTATGGCCCTGCTGCCCGCTCAGCGCAGAAAGAGCGGAGCAGGGAGCGTGGGGAGGAATGTTCCCATGCAGCCTGCCAGCTCTGCATGTCCAGCAGGGCCTGGGATGCTTGTGTGTGTCATTCCTCTGAGCCTCCCCGGGGCTGAGCAGAGTCCCCAGCCCTAGTGGAGAATCCAAACGGGCAGAAACAGGGGCTGTGGGGAGGCACATGTGACCCCCCCATTTGTCCCTATAACTGCATCAGTGCTGGCTACAAGCAGGGGCGAGGATTGCGATTGCACCCTCTTGATACAGATGAGAGTGACCGGATCCTGCTCCTCTTGGACTCCAGGCTGACTGTGTAGCTGAGCTCAGAATCCAGCCCAGGGTCTCTAGGGGCTGAACGTGGAGCAGTGGCTGGGGATTGGGGTGACTGGCCGAGTGTGGGGGAAACGGGCTGAAGGAGGGGAATTAGAGGCAGCGTCAGGGGCTGAGGTTGGAAAGGGCTCAGGGGGCTGTGTCCAAGGGTAGGGGAAGGGGCCTGCATGAAGGAGATGGGGCAGGGGTCTGTCTTTTTTTCTCTCTTGGCCCTTTGCTCCCAGCTACCCCTTGCCATCCCTTGGGCAGCTCAGGATACAGGGGTCATAGTGAGGCCTCCCTATCCCACAGCCCCGGCCTGAGGCCTAGGGAAGGGCCCGCCTTGGCTCCCAGCCTGTGGCAGAGGGAGCCGGGCTTCCCGGCTGCTGGGCTGTCAGGCCCCTCCACAAACAAGAGCAGATGGTTTGGCCATGAGATCATTGGGAAACCGGAAAGGAACAGGAGCGTCTGCAGCACAAACTGGGAGTTTCCAGACTGGGATGTGCAGAGGGCTCCACTCCCTCCCTCCCTGCCACTCCCACCTGCTCAGGTGTCCAGTGGCAGGACCTCGGGGGCACATTTTCTTGCATATGGGGATGTGTTGCAGTGCTTGCAGTATTGGATCTGTTGTACTGCAGAGAGCAAGAGACACGTGGTATGAAGTAGCAGAAGCGGGTGTGCTGCATTGCAGGGGAGGGACACATATTACATGAAGTGCAGCACCGTCTGTTGCATGTGCAAGAGAATGCGTTGCATTACATCCAACAGCAGGTGTTGCATTGCATGCAACAAAGCCAAAGTGTAATTCTTGTGGAGAATGGTACATTGCATGGCATGCAGCAGGGGCGTGTTCCATCACATGCTGCCCGGGATGCACTGCTTTGCATGAAGAGAGGCACATTTCATTGGATGCAGCAGGGGAAGCTGTCCGCTGCATGCAGCTGAAGATGCGTTGCATGTAGCAGAGACATGGTACATTCCCATAGAGTGGTGCAACCTCTGTTGCAAGCAGCAGGATGTTGTCTTGCTTGCATGGCGGGGGGATTGGTTGACAAGATGGCATTTCCCCGTGCTCTGAGCAGACATGCAACTCCAGCGGAGTTCTACTGCTCTTCCGGATGTGGATGGAAGCAGGCAAATGTGGGCTCCAGATGAGGTAACAGGAGCCGTGGCAGGGGGGAGAGGACCACCCCCCGGGATGCGATTGGCAGGAACAAGAGCGGCGTCCTATGCCAGAGCACGAGATGCCGCTGACAGATTTCAGAAGCAGTTAATTTGGTAGCTAAACAGCATGAAGGCAGCAGGGGCCGATTAACCGTAGAGGCCACTTTAGGGGCAGTTAAGTTGTGAAGGAAGCAGAAATCCGAGCCACGGGCATCAAAGGCTCTTTCATCTCAGTCCTGTCCAGATGCAGGACTCCAAGTCGGCAGACGTGCTGCCAAGGAGCAGGGCGATTGCATGCTGGGGGGATCCGTGCTTGCTCCAAGCCCACATCAGCCTGGAACAGGGAGAGAGGGAGCTCCCGAGGTGGAGATTGAGCAACTGCCCAGGAAAGGGGGTATCTTGAGCCTGCCCTTCAGTATGCAAAGGGAGGGCACAGCTCCTGAGACCTCTCCTGAGCCCCCAGGGGACTGGCAGGCAGAGTCCCACTGACACCCCGTGCCCTGATACTGCCTCCCCTGGCTCTGTCGTGCTGAATTCTCCCTGCTCTTTCTAGACAAACCCGTTGGGCATCCTGCCCCACCTCCCTAGCCTGCCAGCTGAGGACTCCTACGAGGAGGCAGAGCCCATCAACCCCAAGGGACATATGAGCCCAGGTAACCAGCCCCATTACACCCCTTCCTCTCCAAAACGAGGTGGGAGCAGCTGGCAGGACATATCAGCTGCAGCGTGTGTACACAAGCTGCCCCTCATGTGTCTGTGCCATGCCTGTCGCCCAGGGCCCATCAGCTGCAATGTATGCACATGGGGCCCCTCCTCCAACATCTGTGCCATGCCTGCTGCACATCTGCACAGGGCACCCCTGCCGCACTTTGCATGCCTCCGGCTGCTTCCCTTTTGTGGCACCCTCCATTCTTGTGGCACGCCTCTTGCATGCTGTGCTGCCTCTTCCATCTAGGCCGCATGGGCATGGACTGTAAGGTCTCCAAGCCCCGCTCTGCTCCCTGCATGGCTCCCAGCTCCTGCAGCGTGGTGCGCTTCCCATTCCAAGCTCAGAGGCCCCTGGCACTGTTGGGGCAGCCCCTTGCCGACAGGCAGCTCCACTCTCGCCAGGCGCTTGCTCAGTGCCACCCTTCTGCTCTGGGCAGCGGGCGGCGGGGACACAGACAGCAGCCACTACGAGTCGTACGGCGAGGACGAGGACTGCGTGAAGGACCGTGCGCACTACATCCAGTGGCCACCCGCCGCCGGCACCGCCGAAGCTCCTGCTCGCCCCGAGGCCCAACTCTGCGGCTTCCTCTGGAGGAAACGCTGGCTCGGGCAGTGGGCCAAGCAGCTCTTCATCGTCCGGGAACACGCCCTGCTGGTGAGCATTGGGTGGGATGGAGAGGGGCGGGAGCACTCGCAGGTGGAGACGGCTTCCCTGGGCACGGCCTTGCCCCTGCTGTGGAGGCCGCATGGGCTGGGATGTGTGCAGGACAGTGCCGGGAGGGTGGGGGGAGGGCCTTGGCAACAGGCGCCCGATGGGCGAAGAGTGCAGGGACGTGTAGGTGGGTGCAGGGAAGAGCTGCATGGTAAAATGGTAGGTGAACTGAAGTGCATTCAGTGCCCTGAACCTGCCAGCCCCATAACCTGCAGACCCTGCACCCCCATCCCCCCAACCCTGACCCCCTAAACCCACAGACCTGCAGACCCTGCACCCC